AGTCAGTTTGTACTTTGTACTATTCATATTTAGTTTGAAAAATTCTAAATAGAGTCTCCTAGGATCAGTGATCCTGGGACGAGGAACTAGCCATTACACAGGGTGAACCTCGTTAAAAATCTCGGTGTGTTCCATTTCATTTTGCTGCTACGCCTCTTGACTCTGACTTCTGCAACATCTCTATCTTCCTTCAGCTCCTGTAAAAGGAATCCTTGAAGAAGACGTCGCGGAAGTGTGGAATTGTTTCTTGGGCTTAAGCTTTTCAAAGCCCACCTCGTTAGTTTATTTTAGTGGGCCAATCTCTCGTTTAAAGCCCTCCTCTTTTTGTTGACTTAGCAGAAGATCACCAAGTCTTACTTCTGCAATTTCAAATTTTGTTCTTTCCCCGCTTCTTCTTCATTTGAAAGCCCTAATTCCCATTTTCATTTCTCTTCTCCCGATAATCTGATTACAAGTGGTATCAGAGCCAGGCCTCGACGAAGATTGTTGCTGCCAAGGTAAGAGATCCAATGGCTTCAGGTTCGTTTGGTCAGGCTACTCTGAATCATCCTCCAATTTTCACTGGGGCAAATTACGCTGCCTTGAAAAAGAGGATGAAGCAATTTATGTGGGGAATAGATGAAGATCTATGGCTGATGGTCCATAATGGACCTATCCAAATGAATTTCGATGAACAACATCTGTGGTCAGCGACCAAAAAGAAAAGCGCCCAACTGAATCAAAGGGCGATGCACGTTCTCCAGTAGGGTATGAATCCTGATGAAGTAGATCAAGTTGAAAACTACGAAACTGCAAAGGAAATCTGGTATGCACTGGAAAGCAAGTATGAAGGTACGTCTAAATATCAAAGAATCTCTTATAGATTTATTAATGCACGATTATGAGTCATTTGCTATGTTAGAAGGAGAAGGAATACATGAAATGTATTCTCAATTTGCTATGCTTATCAACAAACTTAAAGGTTTGGGTAGAGTGTTTCAATCTAAGGATTTAAATCTAAGGTTGTTAGCTATGACTCTGACAGTGAGAGTGATTTTGATAAAGAGTTTGCTCTTGTTAGTAAGAGATTTCATTGTATGTTGAAGTTTAAGAATGATCATAAACATTACTCTGGGGGAATCCAAATCTCTACCTTATGATTGTAACAAAAATAACTTTCAAGATAGGCTGTCGCAAAAACAGACCTGATATTATGAAACAGGTCACCAGGACAAGGAACCTCAAGCGAGTTACTGATAGACCGTTAATTACACATGTTTTTACCCCTGTTCTTACACCGTTTGAGATGTGGTTTCTCGTGTTTTAGACCGATTTCACGCTAGGTTGTGCTTGTTTGTGATATTTCAGGTCCTGGCAAGTGAATGAAGGTTTAGGAGCGAGCTCGGGGTCGATTGGGTGAAGATCGGGCGCGAGACAAGTCACAAGGGAGGTCACATGGGCTGCCCTGATATTCACACGGCCGTTGTCGCAACCGTCCCGTCCGGGGGGTCCGATGTCGTCGCGTCGGCATTTTTGGGAGTCGCCATCGATCTTACTTGGAGTGGATCGAACACTCTTCGGTCGGCTCTAACCTTAGGGTCAGAACCGAGACTTGGTCTGCGAATTAGAAATATAGAGATATAGGTTCGGGAGTACGGTTACGTGTGGGGAAGTGAAATCACACCCCACAACGCCCTAAATCGGTACTACTTAAGTCGATAAGTTTTTATGCGAGTTGGGTGTATTTTAGTACTAATTTTGTAATTTTAGGGTCCCACTGGACCATTTAACGATTTTATCGTATTAGTTGTAATTTAATTATACGCCCACTGACGTAAAAGTTTAAAGATAGAGTTAGTTGATTAGTTGGACTCGAACCTTATCGGTTGCCTACGTACCCGTTAGACGGGATCAAAGTCCACGTAGTTCATTTGAACTTTGATAATTTTAATAATAACTTTCACCACGTTCCACTGAACGTAATTTTCCTATTATAATTTTGTTAATAAAACTCCATTTAGATGATTATATGATTATGACAAAAAAAATGCAAAGATTTTAGTCATTAGGAAGTATTTTTGACGTATTAGAAAAGAAACAAGAGGAATTTAATCCGCATTCAACATTTCGTATTAAGAGCTTTAAACAAAATATAATTAAACGGGATGGTTGAAGTAACGAATGATGGACCAGCAGCCCAATTGGCTGGCCTACTAATCGTTGCGTCTCTGCCCCGAGGACGCGGGTTCGAACCTCCTGCAGCATTTTATTTTTGGTTTCTCGTTTTAGTGTAGAGATGGGGGAAGGGCAGCTTGGTAATTACTCAAAAGGACGGTGGCAAGGCCACGTAATTTGTTAGAAACCTTAAGGGCATAATAGTCATTTTGCACAAACAGGTATAAATTCTTCCCTAGAAACCCTAAGAGGCCATTGTGGCCGCCTCTCATCTCTCTTCTTCCCCTCTCACTCTCTCGTCTCTCCCAGAGACCCAATCCCTAGCCGCCCGAAACCCTGGCCCCAAATACACTCTCAACCTCTCGCCTCTCTCTCTCGCTCAGAGAAACCAACCCTAGCCCCATCTCATACCGCCACCGCTGCTCTCCCTCTCCCCTTCTAAAAAAAACGAAAAACCTAGGCGCCGCCCTTCTCTTCTTCTTCCTTCCATACCAGAGAACCAAAATCGAAACCTAAAAACAGCCGCCTCTCTCCCTTTTCGATTCGCCTAAAAGACCGCTCACACTAGACGAAATCAACCGAGATGGCCTCGATCTAGGTAAGATCGAAACATGCAAGTTTGTTTTTTTTTTATTTCTGGTTTTTTTGAGCGAGATTCTAACCTTTTCCTTGTTTTTTTCTTTCGGAGATCGATCTAAAACCGAGGAGGGGGTCTCGATTTACCTCATGATAATCTCGATCTACCCTTTCTAGTTGGAACAGAGGTGACGACGAGGAGGCTTTACCCTCTGGTAAGCTCCATTTTACATGCATGTCTTTTTTATTCGATTTAACAAACAAGATTGGGGTTTGACTTCTTTTGTTTTTTTTTGTTCTTGATTTCGGACTCCCGCCGAGGGAAGGAAGGGAAGGCGGCGGTCTCCGGCGGCGCGGCCAGCGCCAGAGCCGTCGGCGAGGGTTTTGTTTGGGGTAAGTCCTTTATTTTAACCTTTTTTGCTATTCTGCTTTTTATTTATTATCATTATTTAGGGTTCTGATTCTTAATTTCTTAATTTTTTTGCAGATCCATTCAATTTGAAGAAGACTAGGTGATATCCCTCTCAATCTAGATTTTTTTTGCTCGATTGGCTGCTAAGAAACTATGACTTAATTATTTAGCTACAAACAATTTTATTGGGATGCTAATTAAAGAGTGGTACTGGTTTTGTTAAATTTTCACTTTTTAAAGCGAGCCTAAAGTAAACTCAAGGTCCTAGCCACTGCTTATGACCATCTTGTTGATGGGAAGCTTCAATCTGAATTTAAGCCATGGTCGCTGCTCATGACCATCAGATTGATGGGAAGCTTACCTCTAAACTTGGGCTTTGGTAAGATGATTGGTTTTGAAACTGGTGCGAGTGTGTCAGCATGAAATTTCCTATATGTATGGCTTTATAGGATATCTATTGGTTTCGTGTACAGGAATTCAAAATATATTCTTTTTTGTAAAACAAAAAGTGGTGCTCTTGAACACAAAAAGAGGTATTTTAAAATACTCTCCCAAGGATCTGGTTTGAATTCTATTTTATATTTGAAATCTTCTGCTATGTTTTAGGTTGTTTAGATGGTCATATTAGTATATAAAAAACAGACTAACTAATTAGGGTACTAAACTTAGCTAGCATACGCACTGGAAAGGAAGAACTAGAACAAACATTCATTGTTTCTTAGATTTCCTATATCAGGTGGAATACAAGCATATTTGAGTAATGATAAGTGATAAATAGCAAGGTATACACAAATTAGGCTGAATACCTATGTAACATATAAGTAATGAACATCTCATATAGGTATTATGGAATGAAAATCATAGTCATACACTTCCCAATTTAAATAGTTTTTCCTTCTATGCCGATGTATGGGTGAGATGTATGTACATGAATGGTGGGCTGTGGAATTACCAACCTCGTTTTGTCGTTATATGGTGATGGTGATGGCGATGGCTTTTTTGCTGTCTGCCTCCTTTGTGCTTCTTAATGCTCCTTGTCTGCCCCTTTAGTGTTTAATGTCTTTCTGTCTTTTTTGTGTTTTCTGTTGTTGGTCCTTCCTCTCCGTCTTGTTTGGGGTAAGACAGCTCCTTATATATTGCTGCCTTTTACTAGTTCATACCTGTGTGTTGGCTGTTCCTCCTTTGTTCTTGAAGTGGTGGCCTGAGCCACTTATGTTGCTGGCAATTTGGGATTGGTTCTTGGAGGAGGTGGCCGAAATCCTCTTTTTGGATTTGGCAGAAACTCTGCTGCTCTGCTGTTCTGCTACTCTGCTGCTCTGCTGCTCCTTTAGATAAGGATGATGGGTTTGGTTGATTGGGTTGACCTGAGTTGACCGATTTGACCAGAGTGGACCTGGGCCGACCATACTGGATTGGGCCGAAATATGGGCCTGGGTTGAGTTTTATAGTTTGAGAATTGGGCTGCTGGTGTGGGTTTGTTTCTGATAGTTTTTTTTAATGTATAATTACTAAGTGTATCTTAAAGGTTATAAATTGTACTTTGTAATTGCACATTTATTTATTTATGTTATTGCCTTCAGAATTAGATGATCATTGTATCTGTATGTAGTGCTCAAACATTCAATTGATTCTTCCAACCCAATTTGCTCACTTATCCAATTTCAAACCAAATCCAAACATCTAATCAATGCTTCCCAAACCATGGATTTGGGTCGTTAAAGCAAAATTACCAATCTTTCTATACCTTTTGACCAACTTTAGACCAATGAGACCAACTGAATACAATGACATTAGCATAGGTCGTGACAACATACTATTGTTATTCCAAATAAAGCGAATTCGGTAGCCATTAGCTACTGCTAATCCTACCTAGTACAAATATTCGAACCAAATACTATTGTTATTCTAAATAAAGCAAATTCGGTAGCCATTAGCTACTACTAATCCTACCTAGTACAAACATTCGAACCAAATAAAACGGACTTAAAAAATCGTTGGTACTTATTGATTTGCCATTGCTAATCTCAACCAACCTCGTCCAAATTTTTACTTGAGTTTTCTTTTTAAGTGGATATTCTTTTGAGTTTTGAGCAGGATGGTTGCTCCGGACAAAATGTTGTGTCTACAGCCGTGTGAAGTAATGGCCTAGCCGTGCGAGTTTTGCCGAGAGCACACATGGGCAGAGCAGAGGATCGACACGGCCGTGTGAAGGAGTGGCCTGGCCGTGCGAGTTTTGCCGAGAGCAAACACGGGCAGATGGAAGTGACACACGGCCGTGCCACTCTGGCCGTGTGAGAAGCCTGGAATTCGACTAAGTGATACGGTGCGTTTTGCCTCACACGGGCAACTGGGTAGGCCACACGGCCGTGTGGCCCTGCCCGTGTGAGTCGGGATTTCCTGGTTTTAAGCCAAATTCCGAACCAAAGAGGAGGAGAGCTGGGTTTTGGATCCCAACACCCAAGGGACGAACCAAAGAGAGAGAGGGCGATTTGAGGGCATTCTTGGAGTGGAGTTGGAGGATTTATTCGCCTTGGAAGCTCGAGGAACAAGCCCGGACTTGAAGACTGATCATCTGAAGATTCTTACTGCAGTCTCTCTCTTCTCTATGGAGTAACTTCCCTTCACTTAGGTTTTGAGGAACCCTAGCTATGTTTGTTTGATTGGATGATTGTATGAGTACTCTGACTTGATAATCTTGAGTTCATATTCAATCTATGCATGTTTTCATGATTCAATTCTGCTTTAGTCGAGATTATTGATTCTGCTTTGATCCTATGAGAGGGAATACCTGATTAGGTCAATAGAGCACCATAGATTGATAGTAGTGGATCGATTGCTTTAGTCGAGGGTTGATTCACTGCTTTGTATCGATTGAGAACCTCTTTCGATAGAGGGAGTCTAGTTCAGAACGCCTTGATCAGTTGTTCTAGAGAAGGATACGTCCCTCTAGGCAATTGACTCAAGAGGGCCTTGTTCCTTTAGTCGAGACTCAAGGTCTAGTCAAGGATTCTCCGCATTGTGAATGAAAGTGAAACAGGTTAGAGATCATCAATCATTAATCTGGCTAGTGGCTAGGGGGAATCATACCTAAGTGAGTTCCCAACCTGTAATTAGATTAACTTTAACTGTAGTTTGCTAGAGTAGTTTTAGTTCTTTCATCTTAATATGATTTGCTAAATAATAAACTGAAGCTGAGTAATAGTAACTTTAGAGACCCGTGGATTCGATATTTATCACTTGAGCCACTATAATGCAGTCCCTTTCATTGGTTACACTTGGCCTTTGTTAGGTGTTGTGTCGTAGCGAGTCAAGTTTTTGGCGCCGTTGCCGGGGACTTTCTAAAGTATTAGGAAAGGCAGAAGTTTGTTACTTTAGCGTTTTTCGTTTCTTTTCTTTTCCACCCTTGCTTTTCACTTGGGTGTTTTTGTTTTTGTTGGTGCAGATCTGAATCATGGATCCTAATGGCTTCTCCAATCATTGGGGGTATCCACCACCATCTGGGTGGTATTACCCCGAGACTCCGTGGAGCAATCAAGGCGGAGAAGACTATGGATTCGGGTTCCAGTACCAACCCCCTTACTACGGAGAACAACCGGACCCCTGGGCATATCAAGAACAACCTCATTACCAAGTAGAATTTCTCCCACAACCAGAAGGGCCATTGGAGCTGGAGTTACCCATGGCGGCCTTTACGGGCCATTCAGCAGAGCCATGCTACACTCCACAGCCAGATCCACACTATGATTTGAGGCTTCTCATGGAGAGATCATGCTCCAGTATGGATCATTGTGTCCAGGCCTATCGTGAAACAGAGGAGATCCTCCTGAGCCTTAAGAAGAGCGTCGATGATCTTGAGCGATCTTGGGCGCAACCTGCTCCAGATCACCCTTCTGCTACCATACAAGAAGATGAGGAGGAGGAAGAAGGCTACAAGGACATTGTGGAGCACACTGAAGTTGTCACGGAGAGCTCCCGTGATGATCATGATCAGGAGTGTCCTGTCGTAGCCGACCACACCTTCCCACACCCCAAACTGCGCTTTGAAGAGGCGGGCATGAGTGAGGAGTTGCAAGAAGATCTCATGAAAGAAATTGCTTGGCAACTTGCTCTCCAATCCGTGCTAGAAGAAGAAGAGCAAGAAAGGGTGCAGAAAGAAGTTGTGGAGGATGGAGAAAGTGAAGCTGGAGAAGTTCTTGATCATTTCCCAGGGGTGATACCACATGAAGAAGGAAGGGAGGTTAAAGAAGCAATTGGCGTCCAGGCTGAGGACGGAGTTAAGGTGGAAGAGGCCTGCACTGGCCATGAGTTACATGTGATATCTCCACCAAACTTCGAGGAACTTCTTAGCAAGGACCCATTTGCAGTGTCTCTTTGCCAGACCAAGGCCACCTCGACATCGGTCCCTCTTGGTGGACGCGATGGTGGCCAATCGATACTGTCATATCTGGTTTGGGGCAATGAGACGAGAGAAGAGAAGGAGAGGTCTCGAGGGTGGAGACTTCGTCTGCATCAAGTACATGAGCCTTCATCACCTGCCACACCACATGCTCGTGACTTGAGACTCCAACTCATCGACGAGAACCTCAACTTCAAGGAGGTTCTAGCATGGACCGAAACTTAGGAGCCATCGTCCGGCTCACGACGTGAAAGAAGCGCTTGTTGGGAGGCAACCCAACCAGTCGGTTTGCATTTCTGTCTCTATTTCTCCTCGGTTGAGTCAGTTTTGCTATTTGATTTTAGAGTCAATAACTCAACCTTTGTGAGATTTTGTGTGGTGTTTGTGTTCTGATTACTCTCTCTTTCTGGATGGCACCGCCTGACCCGTTCATCATCATTCACCCTTGATCTGGTAACTTCGTTCTACCCTCCTTATCTTTCCTCCATTGAGGACAATGTCGTGCTTAAGTGTGGGGGGATGTTCGATTATGTATGCGGGTGAATGTTTGGCTGTTTGTGTGCTTGGAGCCTAGTCCACTGTCCAAATTTTTAAATTTGAGGGCTCCAAGTACGTGTTTCCATGCAATTGCCTGCTCAGTATGCTTTGAATTGACAGTCTTTATAGTAATATGCAACCTAGGGAGGTAGTGTAACACTATGGAGGATGTTGATGCATTTAAGAAGTCTCATTTCTTCTTCATATTGAGTTGGTTGATTGAGTGAATTAGTGATCTTAGGACCCTTGAATTGTGTGGTGTTGTGGATTCTCTGCCTGTCATGGACTCTTGTATCATGTTTTAAGTTTAACAGGTGCTCGAAAATGTGCTTCAAAATAACGTCTCCCGTGCGAATAGGGCGAAAGTGTGTAAGGGGAGACGGGAATCCGTTCCCAATTTCCACCTACTACCTCCAGCCCCCTTGCATGGCTTTACCCCGCACGAGGCTCGAGACATCCGCTCCTGGCATGGCCGGTAAGAGCAGGTTGGGACCCTTGAAAAGAAAAGAAAAGAAAAATAACAGAAAACAAGCAAAACAGAAGAAAAGGGGTTCCAACCATCTTCAAGAAGAAAAAAAAGAGAGCACCTTGAAAAATGTGAGTCCATGATCTTTTGTTTTTGAGAATCTCTTCATCCACAATTCATTTGTCCTCTGTTCACTATTTGCCATGATGCCGACTCGATACTAGTGCTCTCGCCGAAGAAGCTATGAGATGACTTGTGCGTTGGTTGACCTCGTAAGTTGCTAAATGATCTAGGAAATCCTCTACCTACGATCTGGGTTGTTTGTTGCTATAGAGGTCTGGAGAGCTACATTGGTTTGAGTTAGGTTTGCTTGGGGACAAGGAAACGGTTAAGTGTGGGGGAGTTTGATAGACCGTTAATTACACATGTTTTTACCCCTGTTCTTACACCGTTTGAGATGTGGTTTCTCGTGTTTTAGACCGATTTCACGCTAGGTTGTGCTTGTTTGTGATATTTCAGGTCCTGGCAAGTGAATGAAGGTTTAGGAGCGAGCTCGGGGTAGATTGGGTGAAGATCGAGCGCGAGACAAGTCACAAGGGAGGTCACACGGGCTGCCCTGATATTCACACGGCCGTGTGAAGTAATGGCCTGGCCGTGCGAGTTTTGCCGAGAGCACACACGGGCAGAGCAGAGGATCGACACGGCCGTGTGAAGGAGTGGCCTGGCCGTGCGAGTTTTGTCGAGAGCAAACACGGGCAGATGGAAGTGACACACGGCCGTGCCACTCTGGCCGTGTGAGAAGCCTGGAATTCGACTAAGTGATACGGTGCGTTTTGCCTCACACGGGCAACTGGGTAGGCCACACGGCCGTGTGGCCCTGCCCGTGTGAGTCGGGATTTCCTGGTTTTAAGCCAAATTCCGAACCAAAGAGGAGGAGAGCTGGGTTTTGGATCCCAACACCCAAGGGACGAACCAAAGAGAGAGAGGGCGATTTGAGGGCATTCTTGGAGTGGAGTTAGAGGATTTCTTCGCCTTGGAAGCACGAGGAACAAGCCCGGACATGAAGACTGATCATCTGAAGATTCTTACTGCAGTCTCTCTCTTCTCTATGGAGTAACTTCCCTTCACTTAGGTTTTGAGGAAACCTAGCTATGTTTGTTTGATTGGATGATTGTATGAGTACTCTGACTTGATAATGGAGTTCATATTCAATCTATGCATGTTTTCATGATTCAATTCTGCTTTAGTCGAGATTATTGATTCTGCTTTGATCCTATGAGAGGGAATACCTGATTAGGTCAATAGAGCACCATAGATTGATAGTAGTGGATCGATTGCTTTAGTCGAGGGTTGATTCACTGCTTTGTATCGATTGAGAACCTCTTTCGATAGAGGGAGTCTAGTTCAGAACGCCTTGATCAGTTGTTCTAGAGAAGGATACGTCCCTCTAGGCAATTGACTCAAGAGGGCCTTGTTCCTTTAGTCGAGACTCAAGGTCTAGTCAAGGATTCTCCGCATTGTGAATGAAAGTGAAACAGGTTAGAGATCATCAATCATTAATCTGGCTAGTGGCTAGGGGGAATCATACCTAAGTGAGTTCCCAACCTGTAATTAGATTAACTTTAACTGTAGTTTGCTAGAGTAGTTTTAGTTCTTTCATCTTAATATGATTTGCTAAATAATAAACTGAAGCTGAGTAATAGTAACTTTAGAGACCCGTGGATTCGATATTTATCACTTGAGCCACTATAATGCAGTCCCTTTCATTGGTTACACTTGGCCTTTGTTAGGTGTTGTGTCGTAGCGAGTCAAGTTTTTGGCGCCGTTGCCGGGGACTTTCTAAAGTATTAGGAAAGGCAGAAGTTTGTTACTTTAGCGTTTTTCGTTTCTTTTCTTTTCCACCCTTGCTTTTCACTTGGGTGTTTTTGTTTTTGTTGGTGCAGATCTGAATCATGGATCCTAATGGCTTCTCCAATCATTGGGGGTATCCACCACCATCTGGGTGGTATTACCCCGAGACTCCGTGGAGCAATCAAGGCGGAGAAGACTATGGATTCGGGTTCCAGTACCAACCCCCTTACTACGGAGAACAACCGGACCCCTGGGCATATCAAGAACAACCTCATTACCAAGTAGAATTTCTCCCACAACCAGAAGGGCCATTGGAGCTGGAGTTACCCATGGCGGCCTTTACGGGCCATTCAGCAGAGCCATGCTACACTCCACAGCCAGATCCACACTATGATTTGAGGCTTCTCATGGAGAGATCATGCTCCAGTATGGATCATTGTGTCCAGGCCTATCGTGAAACAGAGGAGATCCTCCTGAGCCTTAAGAAGAGCGTCGATGATCTTGAGCGATCTTGGGCGCAACCTGCTCCAGATCACCCTTCTGCTACCATACAAGAAGATGAGGAGGAGGAAGAAGGCTACAAGGACATTGTGGAGCACACTGAAGTTGTCACGGAGAGCTCCCGTGATGATCATGATCAGGAGTGTCCTGTCGTAGCCGACCACACCTTCCCACACCCCAAACTGCGCTTTGAAGAGGCGGGCATGAGTGAGGAGTTGCAAGAAGATCTCATGAAAGAAATTGCTTGGCAACTTGCTCTCCAATCCGTGCTAGAAGAAGAAGAGCAAGAAAGGGTGCAGAAAGAAGTTGTGGAGGATGGAGAAAGTGAAGCTGGAGAAGTTCTTGATCATTTCCCAGGGGTGATACCACATGAAGAAGGAAGGGAGGTTAAAGAAGCAATTGGCGTCCAGGCTGAGGACGGAGTTAAGGTGGAAGAGGCCTGCACTGGCCATGAGTTACATGTGATATCTCCACCAAACTTCGAGGAACTTCTTAGCAAGGACCCATTTGCAGTGTCTCTTTGCCAGACCAAGGCCACCTCGACATCGGTCCCTCTTGGTGGACGCGATGGTGGCCAATCGATACTGTCATATCTGGTTTGGGGCAATGAGACGAGAGAAGAGAAGGAGAGGTCTCGAGGGTGGAGACTTCGTCTGCATCAAGTACATGAGCCTTCATCACCTGCCACACCACATGCTCGTGACTTGAGACTCCAACTCATCGACGAGAACCTCAACTTCAAGGAGGTTCTAGCATGGACCGAAACTTAGGAGCCATCGTCCGGCTCACGACGTGAAAGAAGCGCTTGTTGGGAGGCAACCCAACCAGTCGGTTTGCATTTCTGTCTCTATTTCTCCTCGGTTGAGTCAGTTTTGCTATTTGATTTTAGAGTCAATAACTCAACCTTTGTGAGATTTTGTGTGGTGTTTGTGTTCTGATTACTCTCTCTTTCTGGATGGCACCGCCTGACCCGTTCATCATCATTCACCCTTGATCTGGTAACTTCGTTCTACCCTCCTTATCTTTCCTCCATTGAGGACAATGTCGTGCTTAAGTGTGGGGGGATGTTCGATTATGTATGCGGGTGAATGTTTGGCTGTTTGTGTGCTTGGAGCCTAGTCCACTGTCCAAATTTTTAAATTTGAGGGCTCCAAGTACGTGTTTCCATGCAATTGCCTGCTCAGTATGCTTTGAATTGACAGTCTTTATAGTAATATGCAACCTAGGGAGGTAGTGTAACACTATGGAGGATGTTGATGCATTTAAGAAGTCTCATTTCTTCTTCATATTGAGTTGGTTGATTGAGTGAATTAGTGATCTTAGGACCCTTGAATTGTGTGGTGTTGTGGATTCTCTGCCTGTCATGGACTCTTGTATCATGTTTTAAGTTTAACAGGTGCTCGAAAATGTGCTTCAAAATAACGTCTCCCGTGCGAATAGGGCGAAAGTGTGTAAGGGGAGACGGGAATCCGTTCCCAATTTCCACCTACTACCTCCAGCCCCCTTGCATGGCTTTACCCCGCACGAGGCTCGAGACATCCGCTCCTGGCATGGCCGGTAAGAGCAGGTTGGGACCCTTGAAAAGAAAAGAAAAGAAAAATAACAGAAAACAAGCAAAACAGAAGAAAAGGGGTTCCAACCATCTTCAAGAAGAAAAAAAAGAGAGCACCTTGAAAAATGTGAGTCCATGATCTTTTGTTTTTGAGAATCTCTTCATCCACAATTCATTTGTCCTCTGTTCACTATTTGCCATGATGCCGACTCGATACTAGTGCTCTCGCCGAAGAAGCTATGAGATGACTTGTGCGTTGGTTGACCTCGTAAGTTGCTAAATGATCTAGGAAATCCTCTACCTACGATCTGGGTTGTTTGTTGCTATAGAGGTCTGGAGAGCTACATTGGTTTGAGTTAGGTTTGCTTGGGGACAAGGAAACGGTTAAGTGTGGGGGAGTTTGATAGACCGTTAATTACACATGTTTTTACCCCTGTTCTTACACCGTTTGAGATGTGGTTTCTCGTGTTTTAGACCGATTTCACGCTAGGTTGTGCTTGTTTGTGATATTTCAGGTCCTGGCAAGTGAATGAAGGTTTAGGAGCGAGCTCGGGGTAGATTGGGTGAAGATCGAGCGCGAGACAAGTCACAAGGGAGGTCACACGGGCTGCCCTGATATTCACACGGCCGTGTGAAGTAATGGCCTGGCCGTGCGAGTTTTGCCGAGAGCACACACGGGCAGAGCAGAGGATCGACACGGCCGTGTGAAGGAGTGGCCTGGCCGTGCGAGTTTTGTCGAGAGCAAACACGGGCAGATGGAAGTGACACACGGCCGTGCCACTCTGGCCGTGTGAGAAGCCTGGAATTCGACTAAGTGATACGGTGCGTTTTGCCTCACACGGGCAACTGGGTAGGCCACACGGCCGTGTGGCCCTGCCCGTGTGAGTCGGGATTTCCTGGTTTTAAGCCAAATTCCGAACCAAAGAGGAGGAGAGCTGGGTTTTGGATCCCAACACCCAAGGGACGAACCAAAGAGAGAGAGGGC